AAAAAAAAAAGACCAACCAACCGTCCCAATCCTTCCCTCCTCTGCTCAGTCACTGCCCCCAGAGCCTCATTCCAGGCAGGGAGATGCTTTGGAGAGAGAAGTGGAGGAAAGTGCCCCGGGCTGGGAGTCCTGGCTGTACCAGGGCCCTGCCCTGCCCTCTGGGATGGATGGAGGGATCTGGGATTGGTTCTCTCAGGAGGGGAATGGGATCAGTGTCGTTCCCTTGGAGCCCAACGGGTGGTTTTTTTTTTTTGGGAGCGGCAGAGCAGGAAAACTCGATGGAATGGAGGGAGGGAGAGCGCCCCGACCCCTCCCTGCTCTTGGTGGGCTTTGGGCCCCAGTTCTCCCAGTGCTCCTTTTTCCCTCATCCTCTCCCTGTGTCCCCCAGGTGTGGGAGGGCCCAGAGCCCTCCTGGCCCCGCATTCCAGGGACAGCAAAGCTCCGGGGTATCCCCGGCTCCCACTGGGGGGTCTTGTCCCACCCCGGAGCAGGGGACATGGTGCCCTTTTCCCTGGAAAGCATCTCCCTGCGCTGTTCCATCGGCAGAGGAGCAGCAGGTGGAGCCTCGGCCCTCTCCTGCCCTTATTGCTGTATAAAATGGCTTCTTTAGACCCCCCAAAACTGAAATTTCCATGAATTCTAGAAAGAGACGGCGGGGAAAATCCAACCTGACGTTTTCTGCAGCCCAGGCCTGGGGGATTTTTTTTTTGGGGGGGGGGGGGGGGGGGGGGGAAGGGGGGCTCAGCCCCCCTGCCTGGGCCAGGCACAGTGAAGGGGTGACCCCTGGCAGCCCCCTCCCCTTTCCCCGGCTTCCTTTGGGAATGGGGGTGGCTGCGGGCGGAGCGGAGCTGGTGGCGAGGGCCAGGGGGGAATGACAGGGCTGGGTGTCCCCACCCGGGTCACCTGCGAGCTGCCACCCCCCCGGCCCGGCCCCGAAAGCGAAGCGGAGCCGCAGCAAAGCAGGAAGGGGGGGCTGGGACCCCCCCCCCCTTCTCCCAGCACGGACACGGCTTGGGAAGCTTCAAGTCCAGACCCAGCGACGCAAATCCGGCCAAACCTTCCCCCGGCGGCGGCGAAGCGGCTCCCACCCCCCCTCCCCGTCCCCCCCCAGCAGCCCCTTCCTTCTCCCGGGCTCCGGCACGACCTCCGCGTGTGCGAGCGCCTTATTGCAAAATAATTCCAGGGAATATGAAACTGGAGATGGGAAGGGCCCGTCCCGGCTCACGTTGCAGTCCTGGGGGTCGCGGCCGGTGCCAGCCCCCGGCTGAAGGAGCAGAAAGTCCCTGGCGTCGGGGTTTGGTTGGGTTTTAGTGCAAGAAATGCTGCCCATGCACGGGGGGCCGGGTGGCTGCCGCTCATCCCGCTCCATCCCGCGGCGGGAGAAGGTCCCAGTGCTGGGAAGGATCCAGGGCGGAGGCGGAGGGAGCGGGACGGAGCAGGGCACGGTGCCATGGCCCGTGGGCAGGGGGTGTAGGCACGGCTGAATCGGGCTCCTCTGGCCGCTGATCCCGGGAATCCCGGCCCTCCCGGCGGGTCCGGGAGTGGCGCGGAGCCAAACCAGGATAACTCCCACCCGTGGGATGCTCCATCCACCCCGCCGCTCAGGAATCCTCGGCGCGGGATCCGGGGTGGCAGCGGGTCCCGGCGGAGGGGCCGGGGGGACACGAGGGGACGCAGCAGAGGGGGCCGGGGCAGAGCAAGGGGCTGGCGGCCGGTGGGCTCGGCCTGGCCCCGAGCGGGGGGACGGCGAGGGGGGGCGAGAGGCTGCCGATGGCCACGGCTGCCCGGAGGAGGGAGCGGGCGGCCCCCCGCGCTCCAGCCCCCCCGAAAGCCCCGGTTAGAGCCTATAACCCCCGCTCTCCTCCTCCGCCCGGCTCTCCGGCTCCTCACGGCCCCCTTCCTCCGCCGCCCCATTGAGGTGGGACTTGCTGGGTACCGAGCGCTCGGGGTCTGCCGAGGGGCCGGGCCGGGGCTGCGGGGACGCCCCGGCCGTGGTGCCGTTGCCCGCGGCCCCTTCGGACTTGCCGAAGTTGAAGAGCTTGCCGGGGTTGAATGGCTTGGTGGGGGACTGGACCTTCTCGGTTCCCGCGTCCCGCTTAGTCTCCGGGGATTTGAGGAACTTGAAGCTGAGGAATCCTGGCAGCTTGTTCTCGCTGCCGGTGGGCGACTGCGGGGACCTGGCGGTGGCCGTGCCGCCGGCGCCGGCCCCTCCCGACAGGAACTTGCCCTGCAGGGGGATGATCTGCTTCAGCTTCATCACGTTGTTGGTGGCCAGGAGGGAGCTGGGGCGCTTGGGCTTGTCGGAGCTGTGCGAGGAGCCCCCGGAGCCCTTCCCTTTGCTCTGGCTCTTCTCGTGGGCCGGGTCCTGCCCGGCGGCCTCGGGCTTGGCCTCATCCCGGCTGGATTCGCGCTCCTTGCGCGCCTGGTACTCGGCGTGGCGCTGCCGCTCCTCCTCCTCCCGCTTGCGCCGCTGCTGCTGCTGGAAGTGGTGCTGTGCCTGCCGCTCGTGCTTCTGCCGGCGGGAGAAGCCCGTGTGCCTAAGGGGAGCTCGGCGGCCCCCGGGACACCTTGGGGAGCCCTCCCAGCCCAGGCGTGCCTCGGGGAGCCCTCCCGGTCTGGGGACACCTTGGGGAACCCACCAGGTCCGGGGATACCTCGGGGACCCCCCTAAGCCCTTGGTTCAGGGGTCCCAGCCCCGTGCCCAGCCCCGAGCAGGGTCCCATCCCAGCACCACCCACCTTGAAGGCCTCTCGCCGCTGGTATTCCAGCTTGGCCATCTCCTCGGCCACCCAGGCAGGAATGTCGGGAATGGCCACTTGGATGATGTACTTCAGGAACAGGGCGAAGTGCTGTGGGGGGCACACGGATCCGGCTGAGCGCCCCTGGCACTGCCACACCCTCCCAAAACCCACCCTGCCCGGGGATGTTCGTGTCCACACGTGCGAGTAGAGGAGAAGGGAAGATCTGTGGGACCCCTGGGCCAAGACCACACCCTGCCAATCCCACACAAACCCCAGTTCCATACCTCCAGCACCACCACGGAGATGATGGCTCCCTCGGGGCTGAGCCAGGGGAAGAGCCTCTGGAGCTGCCCGCACTGGGCGATCAGGTAACAGTTGACCACGATGGCCAGGACGCCCATGGCCTCCATCACCTTCTGCAAGAGCGGCGGTGCCAGGGGTGAGCCCCCGGGGCTGAGCCCCACTCAGAGCCCCCCAGGGCCCCCCAGAGCCCCCCCAGCCCACCTGCCACTGGCCGATGCTCTCGACGCGCTGCCCGAAGGGTCTCTGCAGCCCCGTGCAGAGCTTGAAGGCGTCGCTGCGGATCTCGATGACGTTGTTGACCAGGGCGCACATGGCGGCCAGGGGGAAGGCCGAGGAGAACAGCACCACGTACCCGAACTGGATGAACATCTCCTGGTAGTCCTGGAAGGTGTCCTGGGGGAAAGAGCTCCAAGGTCACGGAGTCCCCGCTGTGCCCGATGCCCACCTTGTCCCCCAGCCCCCAGCACTGAGTGCCACGGCCAGGGGCACCTCCAGGGGTGGGGACTCCAAACCTCCCTGGGCAGCCCCTTCCAAGCCAGGTGCCCTTGGCCTCTTGCCCACCTTGGCTCATGGGCAGTTGCCCCACCAGGCTAACAGGATTTGGGGCTCCCTGGGGGGACTCACCTCATACTTCTTCATGCAGCTCTCCACCTCGGCCTGCGTCAGCTGCGTGGAGTAATCCTCCTCGGGCGGGTCGATCCACGACGCCCGGTTGCGCCTCCGCCCTTCCTCCTCTCCGTCCTCCTCCTCCCGCCTCCTCCGGCCGGCCCGCGGCACCACCGCCGGCTCCGCCGCCTTTGCCGGGCTCCCTGAGGGCCCTTCGGCCTCGTCGTCATCCTCGCAGAGCTCGAAGACTGCGGCGGGGTCCATGCCCTTCTCCACCATGGTGGGACTGCCCTCCTCGAGGAAAGGCTCGTCCTCGGCGCCTCCACCGCCGCCTCCGCCGGGCTCCCCGCGCCGCTCGGCCCGCTCCACGAAGCTCACCTTCTTCAGCTTCAGCCCGCAGTCCAGCGAGCTCTCCTCCTCCGAGTCCGACTCCCGCCGCTCCT